GCAGGTGTTTGTGTTATACCATCGCTCGCCAAACGCAGACAATATTTCAGCCGGGGCGAGGAGTAACGACGCGCTATTAGCTACTGCTTTATTTGTAAAGTGTCCATATTTCAAACGCAGCCCGCGGCCCGGCCGCGCCGCTGATTTGTCGGTTATTTTGTTGTGCAAATTACCTCCGCCGCGATTTTCCTTCGACTTTCCCCAATAAAGATTGTTTGAATATATTAATTTGTGAATGGAATATTTTTCGGCAGCCGAGAACGAATTAAAACTCGACCTCCGCCCGGGAGGGGGTAATTATTTGAACAAATAACGCCATTTTAAACGTCGATAATGGAATTATCCCACTAATTAAATTTCTAACGGTCTTCGGGAGTACAGAATTTTGTTCGCAAATATTGGCTTCAGATTCATTAAAATTTGCTATTATTTAAAATATCTTTGATTGGTTTCTAGGTATATTCATACTTTTAGTGTTGGGGAGCGAAATATAGATGGTGGTGGAGAGCAGTATACTATTGCGGCTAATATACATTCATTTCATTCTTTATAATAGTTATTTATAATATGTTTATTGGCCAGGATAAAAAGTAGCCTATAACCTTCTTCATGCCATATAGTACGTGTATATAAGGTAACAAACAAACAAACTTATTTTCACATTTAAAATATCAAAGTAAGGATTATATATCTTGTTGATCTAGAAATTGTTTTATTGATTGAATATAAATCAGTGAACTGATCGACGCAACACAAAGTTATGAAAACTAACGACGAACAAATGCACAACAAAAGGGTAAGGGCAGAGGCGAGGGTTTCTTTCATCTATCAACTTGTGCGTGGAACGGTTCCTTTCACAAACTATCCAAACAAACCTCAATGTTTAACAGATCAATACCAGTCTACCAGGCACGCAGAACATTTTAGGAGCTCAGTTCAAGCGGCCTTACCCTCCTTATTGGCAATTCTTATTCAAATACGGGCCGGCGGGCGTAATCCGCGTGACATACTGGGCTATCTGTGTGTCCGTTTTTTTCCTTATTTATCGCCGTCGTACCCGGCGCCCGGTCCATTTCTCTCTGTCGCGCTTATCCGGAGATCTGACGGCGGACTGGCTTCTTAGCTATGTCTGCTTGTCTGCTAGTACCTTTGCAGGGGCAACATGTGTACCGAGAATGATTTATGTTCCTTGATTAAAATTAATTTCATCATAAAATTATTCAAATATGCACAGATTAGGGTAACTTTTTTAAGAGCTAATATGTTTTTACTACATATTATATAGTACTATACTAATATTAAAAATGTGAAAATTACCGTTTATAAGCGTTTGACACCATATTTGGCATCTTAACTTAAACATTCAACCAATTGTCATGAAATTTTGGTATAAACATTAACTTCTTACTTCAGTACGGATCCAAAACAAATTGATTACTTCCTCGCCGTTGCCTCCAGCTCTCCGCTATATAAACGACGCTAAAAGTAAACAAAAACTTACAAAAAATATTTTTAGCGACATAGTTAATGTTGTCTATGATCCGCTTGTCTCTTTAAAAGCGTCTTAATGTTCTCTAAATAAAATAGCTTTTACTTAATATAGTTTGTTATCAAAGGAATACATTTATATAAATCCCTATATAAACAGATAGCTCTTTTACCTTCAAAGGACTTGATGATGTTTTATTGTTCTCTCAAGCCTGTTGAATGTACGAAAGGCCGCTTCTAAATTCATTGTATTAACATACTACGAGCATGTTACAAGAGAGGCAGTTCGTTTTATTCTATCAGTTTGCGAGTTAGTTCACCAAGTTGAATACTAACCTTTGTCTCGTTTAAACTTTATTCTAATGTAGCAAATGATTTAATAAAGTGTCGAGATGTTGACAACACTGATTCGCAGTGTGCGGTGGTTTATTATGAAATTATCGAGACGTTAACTCGATATAAGATGAACCTGTCATTTCTAAATTTATTTGAATTTTGAAGCAAATACCAAGGCTGGAGCGTAAACAGACAGATCGGGCACATTTATCTAGTCTAGAGAGTAGGGAATAGATAAATGTTTTCAGATTCCAGATAAATATTTACTAATAAAAGTGAAGAAGTTATTTTTGTGGGGATTAGGTTACTATACCTCTTATTTTTCGGTTGAAATCTTTTTATATATTTTCATAAGTTTTTGTTTGGATTAACATTTTTTGCGTCTTCTTAATTGAGAAAAGGTATTTCGAGCAAAATTAATCAGTTTAAAAATAAACTTTATGAAGTAGACTTATACAAATGATCTTTAAATTTTTTTTTGTATTTTTATGATTCTACAGTAATTTAAGTAAATTAAAGTTAACGAAATGACAAAATTCGAAAGAACGAAAAGTACCAAAGTAACCGACATAGCTCGAAGTATAAGCAAATTGAAGTGGCATTGGGTTGGTCACATAGCTCAAAGAACCGACAACCGATAGTGAAGATAGTTCTTGAGTAGCGACAAATATAAGACGACCCCCCACTAGATGGAGTGATGATCTCAAATGCTTTGCAGGTGGATCAGGACCGTTCCTTATGGCAGTCTATAAGGGAATCCTATGTCCAGTAATGGACATATAATAGCTGAAATGATAATAATGAATAAAACTATAAGTAAATCAACATTTAGTTTATTTATTTATTTTATTTATTTATTCTTTATTGATCACAAAAAAAAGTCTGGTACAAAAGGCGGACTTAATACTATATAGCATTCTCTCCCAGTCAACCTTTGGCTAAACAGAAATTATTCATAAGTACAAATATATGTACATGGCGGACTTAACGCTAAGAGCGTTCTCTCCTAGTCAATAATAGGGAAGTGTCAGAATACTCGAATACGGTACTAGTAATTTTTGATATACATACATACTAAAATTACATATATAAACGAATAAATATATATGAATAACAAATATACTTACACATATATGACATATACTATATTATACACGAAATTGAGAATAATATAAAGTACTTATGTACTACTATTTCTGTATGAAGAGGGAAGTAAAAAAAATTACCAAGTGACGTGTGCTAATTTAATCGCACGGTGCAAAGTGAAACTGACCTGGCCGCTTTGGGCGTAACGTAATTGAAACGCCCCCAAACAACAGAACCGTCGTCATTATGACATTGTTTAATATACATAATGCCGTTTGTAGCCTCCTTAGGGACGTACATGATATAGCTACATTTATGTAGATTGTGTTATACTAGCGACCCGCCCTGGCTTCGCACGGGTGCAATGTACAAACTAATGCGGTATTAGTGGAATGTTTAATAATATTCAACAACCAATGGGGAAGAAAGATTATTGAGTGGTGATCCCGTACGGGCAAATAATGTAGGATAATCCCCCCCCCCCCCCCTCCCAATAGATGGAGTGACGACCTCAAATGCCTTGCAGGGAGTCAGTAGATGCGGGTGGCTCAGGACCGATCTTTATGGTCTACCATGAAGATATAATATCTAGTATGGGGGAAGCGGGGGGAAAGGGATTGTTAGCAATGGAGTTTAACAGCCCCATTGCTATCAGTATGCCCTATTAGGTCGACCTCCACGTGGTTCCCCTTGGGGACCATTGTGAACAATTCTTGTTGAATTCGTCACGATGGGCTAGAATTTAGGCTTTAAATGATCTAAGTGTACAGACGGCGGGAAGCGACATTGCTTTATACTACATAGAGGTGTAATCACTATACGTTTGTCAACGTTTTGAATAAGGTTTTCATCGGCGTGTCTCCTCATATTTTTCCACATAATACTAATAATACTTTCATGAATATGGGTGACATGCGATAAACACGAGTAAAATATCCTTTTAACATAAATTCACGTCAAAAATAAAAAAAAAAATGGAAAGCCCGACCGGCCGATCGTGCCCGTCTGGGACGCGTGTATAAATAATATTTCGTAAGGAATTATAAATGATATTCCACGCCACCCGTGAAGAATGATGGGTTTACTGCTTGCGTTTATATAGCCCTGGTAGTTTTGCCGTTTAGCATAATCTTTTCAAAGTTTAGTTTAGGACGCTAAACGTTACTAGGGTACGCTCGTCCCACGGTTATAGGGAATGGAGGGCAATTAATTACTTCCAATCTGTTTATAGCATAATGGCAGACTTAGACTAAATCTTACGAAGTTATTATCATTAAAGGATAGAATTTTCGCCCTTTTTACTATACGAGTAGTGGGCATATTAGGGTATAGTGGTAAGAGGACCTCTCAAGACTACTTGAAACTATTCTTCGAATCATTATATCAGTAGTTAACTGTCCATCGCTGGACATAGGCATCCCCTTAGAGAGGTGTTACCAGTAGTTCAGTAGAAGCCAAGCTTCGCAGGCGGATTGGCAGCCGCAGTTAGACTTTGGTGATGTTTTAAGAAGGACACTGCTGCCTATCTCCTCGACCATTATGTTCCCTAAGTAGCCTCCCACGGGAAAGGAAGGGGTGGCCTATTTTATGCCGGGATCAGATTATTATTTAATTATTGATATTATTATTTATTTATTTCAGTAAAAAAAACATGCGCTATATTGTCACTACTTGAAATATTTTACCAGAGGGAGACTTTATAAAAAAATCCGTTTGCTTGAGTACCTTTGTCCCATTCGTGTTTCAATCGTAAAGCAGTTATTTTTGCATAATTGTGTTTCGGTTTGAAGGGTGGGATATGACATGAATTTACAAGGTACAGAGGAATAACACCTGAGTCCTCAGGAAGGGCAACGCATGGGGGGTATCATGGGGGAAACAGTATACCTACTCTGTTACTTTCATGGTACTGCTCATGTCTATAGGCGACAGTTACCACTTTCCATCAGGTGGGCCGTCAGCTTGTTTGCCATTCTAAGTTATATAAAAAAATATTTCAAATGTGTATATATATGTATATATAATTTTGTTATGTATAATATGTAGAATTTTCATAGATTTTTTTACTAATTCTTTGTTTATTGTTTCAGGCAATAGTACTGCCGCCGCTCGCCCGGTGGCCCTACGAGAACGGCTTCACATTCACCACGTGGTTCCGACTCGACCCTATCAACTCTGTCAACATAGAGAGGGAGAAACCCTACCTTTACTGGTAATTACACCGTAGCAAACATTTCAGTTACTTGTAATTATTCTGTCATCTGGGCTTTACACTAATAAATTACATCCGAGGATATGTTAAATAATACATTTATATAGGATTACACTTGTATATACTTATATGCGTATATACTTATTTTTATATATACAACTTAGAATGGCAAACAAGCTGACGGCCCACCTGATGGAAAGTGGTAACCGTCGTCTATAGACATGAGCAGTACCATAGACATAACAGAGTATACTGTTTCGCCCATGATACCCGCCCATGCGTTGTCATTCCTGAGGACTCAGGTGTTATTCCTCTGTACTCTGTAAATTCACGCCATATCCCACCCTTCAAACCGAAACACAGCCATGCAAACACAACTGCTTCACGGTTGAAACACGAATGGAACAGAGGTCTCCCAAGCAATCGATTTTTGTACAAAGTCTCCCTCAGCTATGTTAATTTTTTTTATACAAGAAAGATGACAGTGACAACCAAAGATAGGTAGATAGATAGATACTCTTTATTGTTTCCTCCATAAGATTACAATAGTAAACTTATTATAAATATAAGCAATTACAAGAAAATATTACAGTAAGAAAACAATGGGGACCTTATCGCTAATAGCGATTGGTACTTTACTAATAAGCGAATGAGTAGTTTTTTTTTATGGGTGAAAATTGCATGGTAACCCCACCTATGCTATCGGTGTATACCGATGGCGGCGGGGTACCAATGAGAGGTGGTAGGTGAGGATGAAAAGGCGGGTCAGTTAGCCCATTGTGACTAATTCAATGATAAATTAGTCACGATAGTTTCCAGGGGGAACCGCGTGGAGGTCGACCTGATAGGGTATATTAATAGCAATGGGTACTAACCTCCTCATTACTAACAATCCTTTCCCCAGCGAATACGTAGTTAAACGAATGCAGTTTCACAATTCATTTGTACGTTGCCAACTCTTGTGATGTAGGGGGCGAAGGGGATTGTTAGCAGTGGAGTTTGACAGCCCCATTACTAGCAATATTAGGTCGACCTCCACGTGGAAAACATCGTGAACAATTTTTGTTGAATTCGTCACGATGGGCTAACTGACCTGCTTCATTCTCACCTATTATCCTTCACTGGTGCCCCGCCGCCGGTGTATACCGATAGCGCCGGTGGGGTTAACATTCCATTATCACCCATTAAAAAACTCTTGTGATGTGATGACCTTGAGTACCCAATATTTTCACTGTCTCATGCTTAAATGAATACAGCATACAGCTTGATAGCACAATTAATGGAAACACGAGAATTTCGTGCTTTCATTTTAATATCATAAATGTGAAAATGAGCTTGTTTGTTTGTTACCCCATGGCGATTTAAGGGCTTAAGTAATAGTTACGAAATTTGATATATATTTGCTTACAGTTTATGGCATAGAGAAGGATATAAACTAGTTTTTATCTTGTTTACATAGACAAATACATATATACATATCTGTCACGCCTGTCTCCCATTAGGGTGGGTAGAAACAATGGAACGCCAAATGATTCGATTCAAACAAACCTATTTCGCTTCTTCCACATTCATCAATCAACACAAATAAAGTTGCGGGTAAAAGCTAGTAAAGCGTAATTCGTTGAAACAGATAGATGACTTTATCCTTGTTAAACGTCCATGTCGATTTAAACAAAGATCTTAAGCCGTCAGTATTTCTTGTTCTATTTATATATATATATATATCTTGTATTGTTCCTTACAGCTTCAAGACGAGTAAAGGCGTCGGTTACACGGCTCACTTTGTAGGGAATTGTTTAGTTTTAACGTCAATGAAAGTCCGGGGCAAGGGTTTCCAGCATTGTGTCAAATACGAATTTCAACCGAGAAGGTAATTTTTATTTCACTATTTATTAATCTAATCTCATCATCATCATCATCATCATGGTCGTGTGATCTTGCCATAGAATAAGACACCCCTTCCTTTGCCGTGGGTGTCGTAAGACACGACTAAGGGAGGGCGAGGGATGGGCAGAGGCGTCCCTCTTAAACGCCTCTTAAGCCTGACAGCGGTTGCCAATCCGCCTGCCAAGCGTGGTAACTATTAGGAGAACGCTGTAAGAGGGAAGCTTATGTTCAGCAGTGGACGATTAAAGGCTGGTATAATGATAATCAAAGATCTGCACCATGGCATTCAATGCTGATAAATTGAATTTTGAACAAATCGATGTCACACGGAATAGACGTCGAATATTGGTCAGTAAAGCTCCATTCATTCGTTTATTGATATATTCATCCATTTATTCCTCCATTTTTATTCACACATTCATGCTATTTCATTCAAATCGACATTGTACCGTATGTGACGCTTTGACATCTACCACTATTCGATGTAATTTCAATTTTAACTCCTCTATCAATTACGTTAAAAATCAACCAGCAGTTTGTGGAAAGATTTTAAATTTCATATAGATAGATCCTTTATTACTGACAACAATAAAAATAATTGTATATTAAAGTTAACATAAATAGCAATAAAGAAAAAAATTTGTACATTTTGCTGGTAATAGGAGTCCCTCAGCTGTTATTATACATATATTTTTTATTTATGCAACTTAGAATAGTGGTAACTGTCGCCTATAGACATGAGCAGTACCATGGACATAACAGAATATACTGTTTCGCCCATGATACCCCCATGCGTTGACGTTCCTGAGGATTCAGGTGTTACTCCTCTGTACCCTGTAAATTCACTGCCATATCCCTTTCTTCGAACCTATGCATACCTCCAGCAAGATGAACCTATACAGCGCTGATTTTCAGGCGGTAACTCATTTTAGCATTCGTGCGGGTCGCCAGTATAATTGTAATGCTTGTTTTGCAGATGGTACGCGATAGCTGTAGTGTATATATACAATCGATGGACCAAGAGCGAGATCAAGTGTTTGGTCAACGGTCAGCTGGCTTCCAGTACGGAAATGGCCTGGTTCGTCTCTACTAACGACGTAAGTACGCTATTGAGTTAACTATGTACTATTAGGGAAAGTACTGCAATCTCCTAGCATCCTCTCGAGAAATTTAAAAATATAAGCGTATACTTGCACATTCTTTTCATTTAAGAGTTTCCTCTTGTCGGTGCAACTAATTCATACATTTTCTTCCAGCCAGCTCTATTCCAGGCCATATCTTTGATCGTCCTATACGACATGACACCTAGTGTTTTCTTTGTCTATCCCAAGTCTCATTCCTCGGTCTTTCCCTTCCTCTTTTGTTGTTTATTTTTCCTTCTACTAAACTTTTCAAAAACTCGTCTAGTCGTATAAGATTGCCCACTTGTTTGCCTCTTCTATTCTTTATTGTATTTATTATTGTCTTTTCTCATTCAATCTTTTTAAGACTTCCTCATAACAAATACATATACATACATTTTGTAAATCTCAAAAAGTAATATATTAATATTCCTTATGCAAGAAAACATATGCAAAATTTATTTTCACGAATAATTAACTTTTGTTCGTGGTTTAAAAACTTCTTGCAGTGTTTTTAAATTCGCCATTTCTAACTACATTTATGAATTTTTTAATGGATATAAAATCTCGCTATATGTTGTCAAAAAAAAGAAAATTTTTATATTTCGTGGACTTGACTAAATATTTGCATTCTGTAGCGGGTAGAAACACTATACTGTGGAAACACTGGCTAAGCTATAACACACACTACCCATGGTAAGCAATGTGGGCGTGGTAGCAAACAGCGTTGAGCGCGGGAAGGCTTAACAGGACCATAAAGGACTAACGCAGCTTCCAGAAATAGAATTCGGACTAAGAATTTAAACGTGACTGTCGTTCCTCGCATTTTGCATACTCGACTATCCGACTACCGACGATTATTCATTTACGCAGTAAAACTAAACAATAGTTGTTTACGGTAGCATTTGTGTTTTTATAAGCATGTTATAACTATGTATATAATTAATAAAAAAAAATCCAGCGTAAATATAAAATATTGAAATTTACCAAACTTTCTATGTAGCCATTGGAAATATAAGTAGTTTTTTTTTTTTCAAATATTTTACTTTTACTGCGAACAAATGTTGGTTTACGTTTTTTGAATAAGTCCGTTCGTGCTACATTCACGAGGATGGATGAGTGCCTATCGTGTTGACTCAGTAGCACAGATGAAACACGTTCAAAGGATTGCGGTGGTTTTCACTATTTTTATTATAAAAAAATCGTGAATGCACACGAGATTTGTGTGATATTTTATATCAATAATACATTTATTTTTTATATTCACACTATAATTGTTAACACATAAAGTAAACGTGTGGATTGTTATTTAATCTACAATTGAATAAACTGGTTTATTTATAGATTTTTTTTTATTTATTTAATTTATTATTATAAAACTTTGGTTATGTTTTGTTAAGAAAGGGACTGGCTAAAAACCAGCGCTGTGCAGCTGTTCACATTGCGCTGGGACACTCACAGCATCAGCTGAGCTGGTTCCTTTTGCCTAGTATGGGACACTTTTTGTATATGTCATTTATATTTTAATTGTATGTACTGGCAATAAATATTTCTGTTCTGTTCTATTCTATTATTATTTTCTATACTTTATTGCACTATTTAAAAAATGCTATATTTACTATATTAATAAGAAGTGATATAAAAAGATGCCTTATTGCTAAGCAATCTCTTCCAGACAACCTTTAGGTATAGGACATGAAATGTTAATTTTTAGTCAAAAATATTAGAGAAACATTTGGTTAGTTTTAGTTTTTGTGCCAAAACAAGAAATACAATAAAATCAACAGATACACAGTAATTTCCCCACATATAAGAATATAATTGGATAATTCTGTGATACTCAATTTGCCATAAAATTAAAGCAGTGTCATCAAACTATATTTGATTAGGCGTGTTTATCTTTTCGTTAATAATTTTCTGCTTGGTCAAAGCCATTCACTTAACCCGTTAATCTAGTCGCAGGCACCGGGAGTCCATAATTCGATAAGAGCCTATCATAATAATATTTAGTTATCTCCGGGAGACTTCCCCCGTTCCACAATTTGTGCGTTCGACTCGTCACGTACACGTCGTTAGGAACAATTTATTACAAGGAATGCCATGCAGATATTCTTAGCTGTACGCGATTCTCATGACAGGAATTAAACCTAACAAATGGAAATTGCAATCCAGTAGAAAGACATAATATCGGGCACTTGTAGTATTGTACAATTTAAAGAAAATGCATAATGAACTTTTTCTTTTAACATCATGTCACTTATTATTCAAGATTTAAAATTGTAAGAGACAGATAAATATTATATTTACATACATACATACATCAGTTATTTGTTACATAAATATTATTTGTACGTAGAAGTACATATTGATCCCTCTGCTTGCAATGCCGCAAGAATTATTTCGGTCTTGATTCAGTAGTAACACTATTTTGTTTTATTCTAAAACTAGCGGCCCGTCCTGGCGTCGCACGGGTGGACATTTTTACATTTTAAAAAGCGGCTATTAAGTCTGCACACGCGACGGAAGCTTAAAAATGGAGCAACTTCTCCCGTTTTCCCAACATTTCCCTTCACTGCTCAGTAGTATGATAACATGCCCAGGAGTATGATGAATAATTGTACCAAATTTAGTTAAAATCCGTCGAGTAGTTGTTTCTATAACGAACATACAGACAGACAGACACAAAATTTACTGATTGCATTTTTGGCATCAGTATCGATCACTAATCACCCCCTGTGATAGTTATTTTGGAAATATATTTCATGTACAGAATTGACCTCTCTACAGATTTATTATAAGTATAGATTGTATCTAAAATTAAGGTGTTTTATACTGTAAATGTATTGTAAGGAATCAATGAATGTAGGTGACTTGGAACGTTCCTTATGGGAGTCTATGAAGGATGTTTATGTTTAGCAGTAGACAGATAACGATTGATATGACGATCATAATTGAAACATTCTAAAAATAAATCAAAAAGTCTTTGTTTTCGGCGAGTAAAGGGCAACTAATTTGAGATGACAAAACAAAGGACTTGGCGTGTAGGTAAATAGCTAAATATGGTAGAAAAGACCTTTCAACGTTCACAACAGAGGGCGGAGTATACTTGAATCATCCGATTCATAAGTATTTTCTTTATTAATTATAAATTCAATCTAATTAAATCTCGCAAATCCTATTCTCATAATCTTACTCCGCGCGGAATCAGAAAATCATGCAAAATCCTGGCATTTGGAAATTTTGGTAAACCGCCCTACAGATTAGTACTAGAGCTTCATAAACGAAAAGAACAAAAATTTGCTGCTATGAATTTATAACACACTCAGTATATATTGAAATATCTTATGAAGCTTTACAGGCGAATTAATGTGCATGCGAGTGTCTATGAATATTCACCGGAGCCCGTACGTGGTCACGCATAGTTCCGGAATATTTAACTCTCTCGACACCCTGGTATCCTAGTTCATTATCTAGTCTTAACTGCATAGCGCATAGTTTGAAAATGTTAGTCTAACACGATCATATAATATTACCAAAGTTTTCTCTTTATATCGACGTGTAAAGTAAATTATACCGGTGCACTGCAGTAATTTATTATTTATTTCATATAATAATACAATACAAGAAACTTAACAATTTTTTACTACCGCCTTAATCTCTTGGGCTTGTATGTAAGACTTTACATTTCGTTCTCAAATAAGAAGTACTGATATTTAATATTCTGCTATATGAGATATGGATGGTTGAATAGAAAATATGTTCTTAGTTTAAATTTTATGTTTTTGACGGAAGTAGTTTTCTTATGCAATTTAGAACACATACAGCCCATCTGATGGTAAACGGTTACTGTAACCTGTGAACGGCTGCAACACCAGTGGTGTCATGTCCCTGAAGAAACCTTAATATACCCTTTTTGAAGAACCCCATACTGTAGTCTCTAGGGAAAACCTTGGCAAAGAAGTGTGATCTACATTTCACAGCCTGAGCGTTCGTGGGAGTAAAACTCTGAAACTGCACAATACGTGACTATTTAGACTTAAGTATGCGAGGATGTATTCCCTGTCGATGAGGATGATGTCTATTTATTTAATTTTTATGCATCTAAAAATTACGTAATTCACTTTTGTACAACCTACCCACTTCTATCTATTCTTCTTTAATCAAAGGTTGTCTGTAAGAGATTGCCTTCGCGAGCTAAGATCGCCTTTTGTGCCTCTATGTCTGTATTTTGATCTACTTTCATTTAACTAACTAAAGCCTTTAATTGTCTACTGCTTAACATAAACCTCCCTCTTTTTTTTGTTTTCCCAGTAGTTGCCATGCTTGGCAAGTTGGTAACCGCAGTTAGGCTTATGATGTTTTAAGAGGCACACTACCCATCCCTCGCACACCCTTATTCGCGTCTTACGACATCCACGGGAAAGGAAACAGTGGCTTATTCCATGTCGGATTCACACGACCAATCTACTAATTCAATCTACTTTATACTACTGTTTCTATTTTCAGCCGTTAATTGTCCACTGCTGGACATAAGTCTTCCCCATAAGAGGAATTTTGCCATTAGTTGCCATGCTTGGCAAGCGGGTTGGCAACCGCAGTTAGACCTTTAGGGATGTTTTAAAAGGAATACTGCTGCTCATCTCTCGCACTCCCTTAGTTGCATATTACGACACCCACGCGAAAGGAAGGGGTGCTCCATTCTATGCCGGGATCGACAAATTTTATACTACTGTATTTCACTTACATTTTCTAATTATGTTTTTAGTGCAATAAAGAGTTAAATAAATAAATAATAAATACAAGAAGTAAACTGTTTTTTTCAGTCTAATGAACCGTTATTATTCTTTTCTACAATTTATAGACTAGTCTGCTTATAATTAAATGTGTCCCGAACAAAGGGCTTTTATTATTTTGTAATTCGCTTTGTTAGTAGAATCGAGAGACGAGCTCGCGATGGTAAATGGTAAATTAGCGACCGCAAATAGCGGTCTACTGCAATTACGTTCTTCATTGAATAATAAATAACACAGTGAGGTTTTGTGCGAAAAGTTAGAGCAGACGAGTTCACACCTGCTTGATTATTTTTTTTACAACACAGGGGGCAAACAAGCATGCCGCTCACCTGATGGTAAGTGACTACCGCCGCCCATGGTCACCCACAACACCTACGGCATTGCATGTGCTGCCAGCCTTTTAAAAAGGAATATGCTCTTGAAGGTTATGTTGTCGTATCGTTTCGGAAATACTGCTGCTGGTAGTTGATTCCAAAGAGTGGTTGTGCGTGGGAGAAAGTGCCTTGAAAAACGCACGGTGGAGGACCGCCACTCGTCCAGATGGTTGGGATGAAATTTTAGTTTATGGCGGGTTGTACGATGGTGAAAATCAGCAGCGGGTATCAATCCGAACAATTCTTCAGAGCACTCCCCATGATAAATTCGGTAGAAGATGCACAGAGATGCAACATCCTTAAATGTTTAAATATTATCGTTCAGTTATGAAAGAAAACATTCGATTATTAACGTGTCTGACTATTGAAACTTTGGTACAAGTATGATACCCCACATAAAAGTGGAGCTAAAATTGCGTATCGTGCAAATCCCGCCATTAATACGCTGAAAAAATTATATGCATTGTAGTATTATAGTATGTAACTTTTGAAATCTCTTTATCTCATATTATAAATTATATTATATAATATATCCTTTTCACATTGAATGTTGCTGGATGAAAACTCTTTTAGAGTTAAGCTCGCCTTTGTACATTTACTTACCTCTGTCATATTTCTGTGTACTAACAGTGTGTACAAAGCTTTGGCTTCACGTATTAATATATAGATTAATGCAATATACTACTATATATATACTATAATATATAATCACAACTTGCAAAAACAAAGCTATTCACACACACACAGTATTGGGAGTCACCAAAATACCATCCAAGACACACAGTCACCAACCATAACACACAATAACACACAACAAACAAACACACCAGATTCATCCAACACAATTCATACACCAAACACACAAACACTCACAAATTCAGTATATACTCTGAAGAGAAGGCGAGGTAGAAGACGGACATAAAAAAATAAAACTGGGGCATATGTACCTTTTTTTCCTGTGGGTTACAGGACGGGGTATGTTTTTAAGCCGACATAAATCGAGAAGGTGAAAACCAAAAAAAAAAATTAATATATAAAAAAAAGTCTTAAAGTATTTCAACGAGTCTGCTCAAACGACCACGTATAAAGCTAAAACAAATACATTTGAAAGAAAAGTCATCTGATCTTTAGCATCATGAATTTCAGGCGTTATCCTGATTTTGTAATATCGTTGCTGGCGGCACTGCCTCTTATCCCCGCACACCAGCAGAATTTAAATAAGTGCGCAGTGTAGCAACAGAAGGGGAGGTTCGACTCCACACTGCCTCTTATCGCCTCGCGTCAATTTGTCCCACGACCAATTGTACCACGTGTTCCGCGTGTCGTTGACCTATTACAGTAACAATAACAGAATTTATACATATAAATAACATCTAAATGGGGCGTCTTCAAAATCTATATAGAGTCGTATTATCTAATGTATTTGGTGATTTTTATTATCATCACCATTTCAGCCATTATCCGTCCACTGCTAGACATAAGTCTCTCCCATAGACTGTAATAAAGAACGGTTCTGAGCCACCTGCATCCACTGACTCCCTGCAATGCATTTCAGGTCGTCACTCCATCTAGTGGGGGGTCGTCCTACATTCCGTTAGCGACTTTTATTATACAAGCTATTAACTTTCCACTGCTGAACGAAGCTTCCCCTTTAAGGGGGGTTTTGCCAGTAGTTGCTATGCTTGGCAGCGGGTTGCCAACCGTACTTTGACTTTTGCTGATGTCTTAAGAGAGACGTTGCTGCCCGTCCCTCCACCAAACTAAACTCTTTATTGTTCCCTTCAAAGATCGATATTTACTAATAGTGAAATAAGCATTTTTATATATATTGTGTTATTTATATTCTTTCTTTTCTTCTTCTAAACTATTCTCGTTCTAAACTTGAATTTGTTCCTTAAAATATTTTATTTTTTAAATAATTAATTATAATTTAAATGATACTAGTAAATTTTAAACCATTTTGCTGTAAAATCTGAACGTATTCGAGGCCTAAAAATAAACATGTTGATGTGACGTCATTGGAAATTAACTGCGAAGTTGTCAACGTACAAAATTTTCCACAAAGTGAAAACGACAATTATAGTAAGTCCATTAAGTTCCCGTTTTCCAGTTATACATAAATATATTATAAAGTGGAAGGTATTAATTAATTCTCCATAATTACCCCACCGAGTCATTTCTATTACATCTACAAAGATTAATTTTATAATTAATTTTACGTAAGCATAATTAGCCGCTATTATTTAACATTTCCAGTTACATAGCAATTAAATTAATGTTAATTGATTGTGAGTGGGCCTAGTGGGCAAAATATTATTCGACCGTCGATTGTGTACTTAAATAGTACATTACTGCAGCGGCCAGCATTGATTGGCCAGCGGCCACTGAGGCATTGATGGACGAACGTGCAAATGTGGGCCGAGGCGTAGCCGAGACACACATACGTGAGTCCATCAATGCCTAGTTGTGGCCAAGGCTTGTATAGTACTTTTCTCAAACAATGCGCGGAAATCAAAAACACAATTTTACTTTTTAAATTCAATGACGAATAACGAACAATAATAATTGTTCACGCGCCATAATGTTCCTTTGTTTTTCTCTTCAATAAACAGCTTTCTATTTGCAAGCCAGTTCGAAATTTAAATAAAACCTTGTAATAGTTACCTCCTTGGTAGCCATGTTTTGAAGTAAAAGGTCATTTCATTTTTAAATTTCAGGACAGATATGAGTTTACATGGTAATTTATCTGGCCGCAAAACACGACAGATATGGATTTTCATACAACTATTGCCGGCCGCTGCCCGCATATAATTTGGCCAGTACGGCAATTTTGATTTATCTCGAAGAAGATTTTCAAAATAATGCTCACATTTCCAAACATGTTTGAGAAAAATTTCATTATTATTTCAAGGTTTTATATTTTTTTTAACGGATCAGAGTGGAGTGTTAACCCCGTTTCCGTTATTCAATCCTCCGAATTCCACAAGAATTAACCACGATGATTTCCTAGGGGAACCGCGTGGAGGTCGAGCTAATAGGGTGTATTGCTAGCAATGAGGCTGTCAACCCTAGTTATTAACAATCCTTTCATCCCCGGAAAAATAGATTTTATATCTACGTTACAAGTTAATTAGGAAACAGTGACCGTCAAATTTGCACACCAAATAAGATTAGGTATTACAATTATGTATTTTTTATAAATAATACTTTGTCGATATGTCCAACCTAATATGTCAAAACTTTTCCATTAAAAAATGAACCATCAAAATCAGTTTACAATTGGTGAAGACGACCTCCTCTTTGAAATCTGTTAATTAAAACTAAGTTAATACAGAACTATAAATACTATCGTAAATCACACTTAATTGAACCTAGTACTCTATAATTAACATGATTTAAACTTGACTCTATTCAGTAATCCTGGCTGTAGTAGTTACTTGAATAAGAAATAATTTCTCTAATTAATTTCAATACAAAATTTTGTTTCAAAATCTAAAAAAAATATTTTCATATTCATTCATACAAAAACACGGGTAAAATAAGGATTTATCTAATATATGTATAAAATTCTCGTGTCACGGTGTTTGTTACCAAACTCCTCCGAAACGGCTTTACCGACTTTTATGAAATTTTGTGTGCATATTGGGTAGGTCTGAGAATCGGCCAACATCTATTTTTCATACCTCTCAATGATAAGGGTTACCCACCCCAAAAATTTTTTTTAAATATTTTTGACAATTTTTTTTATTTTTATTTTATTATACTCGTAATTTAGCATTGAAAAATACATACAACTTTAAATTTTCATCGTTTTACGATCAACCCCTGTATTTTAATTGTGATTTTTATATTTCGCAATAAGTGGTAAAACAACGTTTACGGGGTCAGCTAGTTTTTAAATAAAATAGTTATTAGAATTATGATTTTTTTATTATAATAATCACCATATCGTCCTGAGCGAACGCAGGGACAGTATGGTCTATGAATCGAACGTTCTCTCAACGGTTGACCGCGCTATGCCGGGTCACTAAGTGCTTTTTCACGCTACGTTTGAACGATCCGAGGTTATAGGACGAAGGAAACACGTCAGGGGAAAGGCCATTCCACAATATTAATGTTAGGTGTTCGGTATTAAACAATACTAAAACATATACTATAAATAATGTACTGGGTTGACTGGAAGAGATCTCTGTTAGAGATAAGTCCACCCTTGCTCACAACATTTATAAATGGATTATTTTATATGTAACTTACAAGTGCAATAAAGAATATATATATATATAATGTAGATAGATAGATAGGTACTCTTTATTGTTTCCTCTGAAAGATTACAATAGTGAATTTATTATAAACACAAGCAATTACAAGAAAATATACACAGTGAAATAATAATAGGCGATCTTTATTGCTAAAAGCGATCTCTTTCACACAATCTTTGGGTAGGGAGGGGTAATTATAAAGAGTTTGATCGTAGGCACCATGTTATGTTTTTCAATCACGACATAGTGGATTTTATTATCGTTTTTTAAATGGTATCTCGCTAAAAATGCTCTAGTAATGCCGTAACTTGTTGAGACGACATATTGAGTGGTAACCAAGCTCTTACTAAAAAATTGTTCGGTAGCTTTAAAATAGTAAAAATTCTTCTTCAATGGGAGTATGTGTCTATTATATTCATCTTTTATGTACATTAATATTTTATTTGTAGCCCTTCGACAAATGCTATATCGGCGCGACGGCGGAGTTGGATGAGGAACGAGTGTTCTGCGGACAAATGGCCGCCATATACTTGTTCGGGGAGGCGCTGACCACGCATCAGATCTGCGCCATGCATAGGCTCGGTCCTGGCTATAAGGTGAGCTTGACGTCCTTCTTACGTTGTACCTTATTTTTCTAACATTATTTTCTTGTTATGGAAAATTAGATTTTTAAATATAATTTCATAAACTGCTAATTTCTAATATACTGAATTAGTTCATATACTTAGTAGTAAAATCTTAACATATTTATTTTGTAAATTTTCCTGCTAACCATGGATACAGAGTCAATTCCGATTCGACAATGAATGCAACATCAGTTTGCCGGAGAACCATAAAAGGGTGAGCGAGACAGCCGCTCCCAAGCTTGACAACGCTGAAATCCCCCCCATCCCGCCTGATCCCGTTGATATTGCCATTCCGCAATCCCCCGAGCCCCAGTCTATCGATAGCGCTTCGCCGACTGAAGATACCAGGACCGCAGTCGCGGAAGAAGCATGCGTAGTTGTGAAGGAAGATGCGACACCACGAGGGCGGCGAATGGCCGACGAGGCGCGCGAAGTGGCCGCCGCGCATGCGTCCCTGCTCGTAGATATTGAAGCATGCAAGCGTGTAAGCATGCCGCGCCGCTCGCTACTGTATCTAGTCTACTGTGTTTGCCTTGCTTGATTTTGTCTGTTGGGAAGCTGTGTTGGTCGTCTGATCTGATCTAACATGACAAGTGGTTCGTTAATCAGAACACCAACTTGTTTCCGTGCACCTGCACATATTGTCGTTTAATGTCACTTACATTGTGTGTAATACCCGTATGCTATTGTCTGTGTGGTGCCAGGGTCAGTTCAGATTCGACGCGGAGTGTCAGATACCGCTGCCTGCGAGCGAGATCCGGATGGACCGTTATGGTGACCTGGTACACGATCCTGCACAAAACATACATGACGTAAGATGTTTGGTTAAAAACCACATTAGGGTTCTTGGTTGGTCAATTAAACGGTCTTGTTGAAACATTCCTTACTAACTTCATGGTGTATTTTATAGTAGGTTATGGGTGTCTTTGGAGTACTTTGAGGTCGTGCATGCTATATGTAATTTTCATAACCCTTACTTTATTATTTTAAGGTTAATCATGAAATTGTATTTAATTTACTTTCTCATTCAAAATTAATTAAGTACTAGTTATTAAACTTAATGGACTAATCAATCATGTTGGTGAAACCTTACTTTTAATATAATGAATAATAAAATATGAAAAGATTATCTGGATAGTTAGGAGAGTATAATTAATTTCAAGATGAAAACGGTATATAAAAGTTTATAGCCGTCGCGTTAATGAAAAGTAAATCTTGCCATTGGTTCTTATAGTACTTTTTAGGTTGAATACATAGTTTCAATTATAAATCCACCTTCTATTTGTCTATTAACATTAACAAAGTTTAGTGGTCCTCTAAAAATTTCACTTTCTAACTCAGACAAGTTTATTAGTAATTGATTTATGATCAAAATTCTATTGAATATATTTAGTTGTTCAACAATTATAAATATGGATAAAGTTAAAGGAAGGAAGGAAGGAAGGAAGGGGCTTCACGGTCGAATTAAAAAAGAACGGAGAGGTATTATAAATAATTTTAGCTTAAAATAACAGTTAAGATGGCTGCCCAAGATCTTATAACAAAATACATATTTTAAAAGTAACACAGGGGCGATGTGAATGAGTTCGCAGCATAAATAACGAGACACATGCCATCAGAAATATTATTTCATTCAAATACATTTTAAATAGACATATTTTTCTTTATTCTTATTTAGTTAATAATAACTTAAAATAAATTAACCAAATAGTTATAATCTATAGTGGCTTGCATTCATGTCATGCTAAAAAAGGATACATTTATTTGGTCTGTTAACGGCCCGCAATCCGCCCTTTGTGGTCACCATTTTGTCACTGCTGAAAAGTTATTTATTGCTCTCGGATTGTACAAGTTTCAGGTACAGAGTCACAACTTCATTAGTCCTAAATAAATAAGTGGGTGAGGCCGCAGCGGCTCTGTTGTCGACCCGAAAACAAGGCAGGTTTGTTATTCGACAAACGATTAACTTTTTTCGTTGGCAAACAGCCGCCAAATACTGGCCTACGCTTAATTATTTAGAGACCTTTGGACTATCCTGTTAATGTGGCATTTGCACGCGGATGTTTACTAAGTAAACTGGGAATGAGAATTAACAACTCAGTGTCCACGGCTATCCTGGGTGGTTGCCCTTAATACACAATTCGTAATGCAAGTTTCAGACAACTCTAGTAAATACCGCCCTGAGTGCCCTTTGCTATTTTTCGCCACCTATTTTCCGCCATGCTCTCATTTCTACAAAGGTAACTCACAAATATTCATTTATGTTTTCTCAGAATGAAATAAATTCTTTGAAAGTTAACATACTAAATATATCTGCAGTTTTGTATTTTCGCTTTTCCCTGACTCCGCCATTCAGTTGACGAGTTTCATGTTATGTACAAAATGTAAACATTTATCATGAGTATACTCTAAAAATAATAAATAATCTCTGTAAGCGGTTTTATGTATACATAATGCATAAACCACTTACAGAGATGTTATCCGTGAATTATAGTGGGCGTTTTGTATCACGTATTCACGTAACTTTATACGTAGTCGTATCATGTGTGCGCTCGCCCCCTGTTGTATCAGTGCCTTTGAGACAGTTAAAATATTCACGAACCGCTACCTGGGGCTGCTTCACTGGTATTCAGACGGTTTCTCTTTTAAATATTTATCATGCTGCCTCTCAGGGCTGCTCCATGGCGGAGGCAATCAAAATACACGTAATTTCTCACTGGTCGTCGTCTTAGCTCGATTACTTCAAGACTATCTCGAAAACTCGGTAAAGGAGTTAACGTTGCGAAAAGTTTTAAGATGTTCAATCTCGTTCAGAATCATTCAATAAGAAAGCCATCCTTTGAGTTGGGATATCTCTCTTCAACTTCGCCTACTTTATTCTTTCAAATTTTCGAGGATTCAGGTAAGTATTTGTAGGTTAATATCTACGAAATGTATAATGTGAAATATCAAAGATAAGTACTCGTATATAATACCTGGTACGAACATAATGTAATTAAAGTGGTCGTTATTAATTTTATTGTTCAGGTATCATAACATCAGGGGTTTGATTTTTACCGTTACTATCATTTCTACTAAGGTCGTTTTACAACATAAATAATATTAAAAAAAAAACATCATAAACTCCTAAAAATTCAATTATACGTAACTTTAAAAAAAATTAATTAAACCCAAAAATCCGCAAAAAGAAAGTAACATAATTTTGTCTATGGTGAACACGCCTCGTTGGGCCAGATGTTGATATAGCCTTCGAAATATCAGAACTTTCCCAACTGAAATTGAAAAATTAATTGGGTGCCTACGTATAACAATATTAATTAACGGAATGACGTCAATCTGGCCCCTGATATAATTGTGCAAAGAAAGTCCACGACTTCGTCTCTAACGAATTAACGAATTTGTTTGAGGCTGGTCGTGTTTGTTCGAATTTCTCTACCGTGAGTAGAACCGTTGGAGGACCACAGAATGCTTGTGTTTTTTTTTTATATAACTTAGAATGGCAAACAAGCTGACGGCCCACCTGATGGAAAGTGGTAACCGTCGCCTATAGACATGAGCAGTACCATGGACATAACAGAGTATACTGTTTCGCCCATGATACCTCCCATGCGTTGCTATTCCTGAGGACTCAGGTTTTTTTTTTTTTTACAGCCAGGAGGACTCAGGTGTTATTCCTCTGTACTGTACTTAGAGATTTAAAATATAGATGTTATTTCTATTATCGTTATGTGATTAAAATCTATTTAATAAGGAATAATAATCCCTATAAGGAGTTATGTCAGTAGTTGCCACGCTTGGTAGACGGGTTGGCAACCGCAGTTAGGCTATTAGAAATGTTTTAAAAGGGACGCTGCTGTCCATTCCTGGCCTTCCCTTAGTCGACTCTTACGACACCCACGAGAAAGGAAGTGGCAGCCTATTCTATTCTACACAGCGATTTTAACTATACATATGTATTATTAGTATTTATTATTTTTTTTTTTTGGTGAGCGTATTAGAAGACTGTAACGCTCACCCAGTTGATGAAATAAATAAATAAATAAAATCATTCAAATAGACTTATAACTGATTCGATCTGATGATTTTATATGAAAAGACGGTTTAAATGTTGTATGATGTAACACTTAATACATTGATGTGAGAAATAACAATCAACCAGAGGGAGAGTTTGTACAAAAGTCGATTGCTTGGGTACCTCTGTCCCATTCGTGTTTCTACCGTGAAGCAGTTGTGTTTGCATGGCTGTGTTTCGGTTTGAAGGGTGAGAAATGGCGTGAATTTACAGGGTACAGAGGAGTAACACCTGAGTCCTCAGGAATGGCAACGCATGAGAGGTATCATGGGCGAAACAGTATACTCTGTTATGTCCACGGTACTGCTCATGTCTATAGGCGACGGTTACCACTTTCCATCAGGTGGGCCGTCAGCCATTCTTAGTCGTATAAAAAAATGAAAGGTATTCAACATAATACTTGATATTTATTAAAAAATCAACAAAAATAATACTAATAAAGGAACTAATAGAGCGTTGTTTTGTGAGAATTCATACTTCGTTATACTTAATAGTCATAAATGTGAAAGTGCGGTGCTTCGTTACCTCTTGGCTACTTTAATAGCTCGATTAATTCTCAGGAAATTCCGTACTCACATATTTTTTCAGGACAGAGAGGGAAATATATTATTTTTGAACCCGGTCAATGATTATATCCTGATTTCGCGAATGAAATCGGCTGTGTATAACTAAGCTATGGATAATTGACACTTATCTGAAGTATTTTCTCTCTTTCTTTAATAATAACAATTTGTTTTTTTGAAATGTGGTCTGAAAAACGGTATTAAATAAAAACAGTGCTACATATTTCGCCTTATCTAAAGGCATGCAAATTTTCTCTTAGTACATGTTAGTAATTTTAAGTAGATTTTAAAATATAAATTCATTATTTACATAAGTCTTAGCTGTTATTTTAAATATATGAATACATTATTATTATTACATTAAGTTGATAAATTGTGTTAACATTTAAAAATAATAGTTATTAAACTAATTTAAAATTATTATTGACGACGATTATAATTTGGCATTCACCAATATGCTAGATATTCAAACCTATTTCCCGACCCTCAAACTTGGACTCCTTGTTGTGAAAATCTAAATAACGAACGTCTCGGAGCTCTATCCAGTTTCAATTTAGGAAAGTTGGATTCCTAATTTGACCCGACTGAGTACTAAATCTGGGAGTTCATTAACGAAATACGTTTTGCATTGTGTTACGAATATCGTCTAAATAAATCTGACGGAAAGAACTAAACATTTTCTTCAATGAGTGCAGAAGTAAGAACGAGTGAATGATTTCGTAATGGCGGCCATCTGGCTCGATGGAAATGGGACATAACTTTGTAAATAGACAACTTGAGGTACGCTTGTTACAAAAGCGAAGTTGAAAACAAAACCCATGGGTAGCCAGAACTGCGAGAATCTGTGTA